CTCTCTGATTCCTGATATTGATAATTTCTTTATCCCCCACCCCCTAAATCAGCCTGACTAGTGGTTTATCGGTTTTATTGATCTCAAAGAACCAGCTTTTTGTTCCATTGATTTCTCTTGTTTATTTTCTGTTTCATTTATTTCCACTCTGATATTTATTATTTCTGCTTATTTTGAGTTTAATTTGTTCTTTTTCTACCTTTTAAAGTGTAAACTGTGGTCATTGATTTCACACCTTCTCTCCCAGTATAAACACTTAGTGCTGTAAATTCGCACCATGTGCTGCTTTAATTGCATTCCACAAGTTTTGATATGTTGTGGTTTCATGTTCATTCCATTCAAAACACTTTATAATTATCATCTGGATTTCTTCTTTGACATGCGGGTTGTTTGATTTCCATTATTTAGGGATTCTTCCAGTGATCATTCTGTCATTGATTTCTAATTTAATTCCGTTGTGGTCAAGGAACGTAGTTTGGATGATCTGAATCCTTTTAAGTTTATTCAGAATTGTTTTGTGATCCTTAATATGATCTCTCTTGGTAAAAGTTTTGAGTGCTGTTGAAAAGAGTGTGTATTATTCACTTGTCTACCAGAGTGTTCTTGCATAAATAAATGAGATCACATGGGCTGAGTGTGGCTTACATCTTGTGTTGCCTTACTAATTTTCTGCCTGCTCAATCAGTTATTGAGAGTTGGGTATGGAGCTCTCCAACTAGTATTGTAGGCTTGTTTTTTTCCTCTTGCAGTTCTGTTAGTTTTTGTGTCATATATTTTGAAGCTCTGTATTAGGTGCCCATATATTTAGGATCGGATGTCCTCTTGTGAGATTGATGCCCTTATTACTATTAAATGACTTTATTTCTGGTAATATTCTTTGTTCTGCAGTCTATTTTAACATTAAAGTCACTCCAGCTTTCTTTTAATAGTGTTAGAATGTTGTATGTTTTTTCAAACTTTAAATATAAAGACACAGATAGGTTAAAAGTTGAGTTCATGCTTTTTTATCCTATATGACCATCTTTGCCTTTTATTTAGGCCAATTAGACAAACATTTGCATCTAGTATGATTATTAATATGGTTGAGTTTTAGCCTATCATACTGCTTTTGCTTTTTGTTTTCTATTTGTCTCATCAATTCTTTGTTTCCTTTTTTCATCTTTTTCTGGTTTCTTTTAGGTTAGTAGTTTTTATTCATTTTATCTTGTTTGTGAGCTTATTATCTATAAATCTTTGTTTTGCTGTTTTAGTGATTTCTTTGGGGTTGGAATACAAATCCTTATTGCACAAGCATATCTTCAAGAGCTTTAAAACAATGCACTTGAGTTTCATCCCTCCTAACCTTCATGCGTCTGTAGTCATGCATTTTATTTTTATATATGTTATAAACCCCTTGCTACATTGTTATTACTTTTGCTTAAACTGTGATCTTTTGAAGAGATTGAACAATAAGAAAAAAATCTTTCATATTCTTCCATTTTGTTACCACTTCCAGTGTTTTTCACTCCTTTATGTGGAGCTATATTTCCATCTGCTGTCGTTTTACTTCCGCCTGAAGGACTCCCTTCAACATTTCTTGTAGTGTTGGCTGGCGTAATATGAATGCCTTCACTTTTTGCATGTCTGAAAAGGTCTGTTTCACCTTCGTGTTTGAAAGTTGCTTTGGTATAGAATTCTGTGTTGAAAGATTTGCATTTTTCTCTGGTACTTTAAAGATGTTGCTCCACTGTCTTCTCACTTGCATTTTTTTCCAACAAGAAGTAGGCTGTTGGCTTATCTGTGCTCCTCTCTGCATAACATGTTTTCCCCTACTGTGGCTGCTTTGAAGATTTCTCTTGATCACTGGTTTTGAGCAGTTTGATTATGCTGTGCCTTGTAATTTTCTTCATGTTTCTTGTTCTGGGGATTGGTTGAGCTTAGATCTGTAGGTTTATAGTTTTCATCAAATCTGGAACATTTGGGACCATTTTTTCTTCTGCCTTTTTTTCTGTATCTTGCTGTTTCTCTCTTCTTTGATGATTCCAGTTATGCACATATTAGGCCATACGAAGGTGTCCCGCTGCTCACTGATGCTCTGTCTAATTCTTTTTTCTTTGTGTATTTCAACTGGGATCATTTCCATTGCTATGTCTTCAGGTTATCTAATCTTTTCTCTGCAATGTCTAATCTGCGTTTAATCCTATCTGGTATATTTTTCATCTAGGATATTTTAATTTTTATCTCTATAAATTCAATTTGGGTCTTCTGTATATCTTCCATGTATTTATTTAACCTTTTGAGCAGGTGGAATATAGTTATAATAACTGTTGTAAGGTCTTTGTCTGATAATTCTAACATCTGTGTCAGTTCTGGTTCCATTTCAGTTTTTCTGTTCTCATTATGATTTGCATTTTCCTATTTATTTGCCTCCCTAGTAAATTTTTATTGGATGCCAAACATTGAAAATTTTGTCTTTTGGCTGCTGGATATTTTTGTATTCCTGTGAATATTCTTCAGTTGTGTTCTAGAATGTAGTTAAGCTACTTCAAAACAGTGTGGTCCTTTCAGGTCTTGCTTCTAAGATTTGTTAGGTGGGGCTGGAGCTGTGTTTAGACTCAGGCTCATTCTTCCTCACTGCTGGCACAAGCCCTCTGGCTGCTCCACCCAGGACCCTCTGAGCTGTGAGGTTTTCAGCCTAACTGACAGGAATGGGCGCGGTTCCTGGCCTCAGGTAGCTTCCTCCCATGTAGGCGCTCCTCGGAGCTCTGCTCCATACTAGGAGGGAACCTTCGCACATCTTCAAGATCTCTCACTGTGGGCTCTCCCCTCTCTAGCACACCATGAACTTAGCCTCTTGGGTCTCCCCAGACTATCAGCTCTTACTCAGGGAGTCCGCCAGGCTCCACACGAGTTTAAACTCCCTGTGCTGGGGCCTAGACACTCTCAAGGCAGTAAGCTGGGCCATCATAGGGCTCATCTCATTTATTTCCCATCTCTTGGGGACCACCATCCTTCATCGTCTATGATCCAGTATCTTGAAAATTGTTGTTTCATGTATTTTGTCCAGTTTTTTTTCATTGTTTTATGCAGGAGTAAATCTGATCTTTGTCACTCCACCTAGGCTGCAAGCGCAAGTCCAGATGTTGTCTGTATTTTCAAGGTAGCTTTCTGTTAGAGTGCACATTGATTATGAGAGAGAAACGGCAGAGAGGATCCCATAGTCTGACTCCCTGGAGTGGTCAGGGGAAGCCAAAGATGTAAGGCAGCGTCTACGTCTGAAAGACCATGTAGAGACAGGTGGACAAAAAGAGGAGGTCCTAGAAGTCCGGAGGATCGCAGGAGCAGGGCACGGAAGTGTGGAAGTGCCTGGGTACCCTGAGGCCAGCAGGGTGCCCTGTGGCTGAAATAGAGGTTGAAATCTTGGGCCTGCGAACCAGTTTCAGTCCTGTTGTCTTTGGTTGGGGCTACTGTATGTGTGTGTAATTTTATTACTTGCCCAAATATAAAAAGATTTCACATAAATGCAGCTTTCTGCCTTCTCTGGAAAATAATCCAAAGTTCTCGACCACAACTCCACATTCCTCCGTGGCATCATCGGCTGGTGCTGAGGCAGTGGGCTGCCTCCCTTGGATGGGCCGTCCACTTCCAACTTGCCACCATCCTGTTCCACTATCCCTGGCCTGCTTCCCTTGTCCACTGCATCACTGTGGCCTCCACAGACACTGGAGTTTTTGCTTAATGCTAGAGCACAGGTTCCCTGGAGATGAGGCTGAAAGGGTGGACTTCAAACAGGTCAAGATTGTAAATTATCAGTGCTTTTTTTCAGAGTTCAACCTTTCCTTTCTCTCTCATCATTCTCCTCCTTTCTAAATGTACTTTATTTGTTCTTTCATCTCATAATTCTCCTTCTCAGTCATCTGGCTTCATTTTGCTTGCTTGTGTATCTCCATATTAGTCTTCTCAGGCTGCCGTAACGATACAGCAGACTGGAGGGCTTAACCAACAGGCCTTTGTTCTTTCACAGCCCTGGAGGCTGGAAGTTCAAGATCAGCTTCCAGCAGGGTTGGTTTCTGGTGAGGCCTCTCGGGCTGGCTTACAGGTGGCCCCCTTCTTGCTGTGTCCTCACACAGCCTTTCCTCAGAGCATATGTGGAAAGAAAGAGTTTTCTGGTGTCTCTTCCTCTTCTCATCAGGACACCAGTCTTGTAGATTCAGGCCCCACCCTTATGACCTCATTTAACCTTTATTACCTCCTTAAAGGCCCTGTCTCCAAATAGCTTCACTTCACAGGTGGGGCTTCAACTTGTGAACTTTAGGAGAACACAATTCAGTCCATAGCAGTCTCTGTTCAGTCTTGCTTATTACCTGATTTTGTAATTCTTGCATAGTTTTCAAGCTCTTTTTTGATGTCTCCCAGCATTCCTGGTCATCCTAGAAAGGAGGCACTGTCTTCCATTCTTTGATTTTCCCTTTTTGCATTGTTTTTCTATTTTCTTTCTGTTAACATAATTTGCAGGGCTGCACAGTCATCCGCAAGGTACTTGTTTTATATTTTACTGTTATGATTGAACCATTTGAAAAGCTGCGTTTTTTGTTCCACGGGTCAGTCTCTCATCACTCCCTCATGCATGAGCTTCCTTCACCCTGTCTTTGTCATTAAGGAGTCTCCTGTAGTTTTCCACGTGCACACACACATGCACATTTATCCTTCTAATCTGATAAAAAAGCTTTCTGGTTTTTCGCAGCCATCTAATACTTCTCTGAGAGGAGTAAAGTTTGTTTTATTCTCGTCCCTTCATCACGGTTAAGGAGGAGCCCAGCCAGAGGTTTATGTCTGCATTATTCTTGGCAGCCCTGTCTCTCATCCCCACATAGAACCGCTCAGTCTGTCAAGGGTTTTCCTCTCAGGTCCTTCCGTTATCTCCCCTTCCCTTCCCACTGCCCCTTTCCTAGATCCAAGCCTCCTCTGAGTTGTTTAAGCAGTTTTCTTATGGCTCCTCGTTTCTGATCTCTCTCCTGTAGTTCTGAGGCTGGGAAAGAACAGAGCCGCGAGGACCGAGGACACACAGTGGACATGCCAGTGAAGAGGAATGAGCAAACTGGCCGCAAAGTCACCCTAATAGAGGTAAGAGGAAGACCAGGAGAAAGTTGTGTCACAGAGTCAGCAAGGAAAGATTTAGGAAAGGCCTGGTCAACAGTGACAACGCCAAAGAGAGAAACAAGTAAAATAAGGCCAGAAAAGTACCCTTTGCAGTTTGCAGCCAAGAGGCCGTTTGTGACCTTCCAGAGGACGGCTTTGGTGGAGGGTCCTGGGGGCCTGAGTCAGATTGTGTCCAGTCAGAGGGAGAAGACCGTCAGGGTAGACTGCTTCTCCAAGAAGCTGGGCCTCCAGGGAAAGAACACTGGGCAGCAACTGTGGGAAACACAGGATGTAGAGAAGATCTTTACATGGGGAATGACAAGAATATTTACAAACTGAGAGGGGCCGTTCAAGGTTTAGGGTGAGGGGAAATCCCTGGGGACGGGAGGAAACACATGGGTGAGAATTGGAGACAAGAAAAAAGGAAGTGGGGCACTGTTTCCACTGAGACAGGCAAGTGGGGCAAAATGTGTCTGGATGGTGGTGATGTCTGGGGGGATGGAGACGGAGAAGGCGGGAACGGCCTTGAGGAAGTCTCTGTGCTCTCTGTGAGGTAGCCATGGGGTTTGTTGGCTGAAGGTGGAGTGTTACAGCCCTGTCAAGTCCGCTTGTATGAATTTGTCTATCTGGGAAATAGATTCAAAATTTTCATAAGTATTTTTAGATTTTAATTGTAAAAAAATAAAATCTGTGCAGAAAACATATAGATCAGTAGTTATATAATCATGGGTTAAGGAGTGACTTTTCAACCTTGATACCAGAATCAGAAAACATTTTGAAGCAGATTTTTAGGTTTAAATAATAGAAATTTTAAAATGATGTATGTTAAAGAGAAAAAAACACCATAAGCAAAATCTGAAAACAAACAATAACCTGAGATAGGGAAGAATTTCACAAAATACATGACAGATAAATGATTAATACATATAAAAAGCTCTAAAAAATCAACAGGGAAGACAAGTACACCAATAGAAAAATTGGCGAAGGGTATGCACAGGACATTCTTAAAGAAATATCTATAAATGGCAATGAACATATGAAAAATGTCTACCTTCCAGTGATCAGATTAATAGAAATTAAAACAATGAATGATGCAGTGTTTTTCCCTCACAAAATGCGACGCGTTTCAAACACTTACAATCCCCAGTGTCGGTGAGGGGCTGGGAATGCAGTCCCGTGCACTGCTGTCATAGTGTGAGGCAGACCCCTTCTTCGTGAGGGATGGTGGGGTAACATGTTCATCATTCTTCAATCGTTCATGTCCTTTGATCTGACAATTCTGCTTCCAGGAATCCATTGTAGGAAAGTAGTCAAGTTTACATGCAGAGATTCAGTTAAAATCCTACTCCTTCAAGCAGTGTTTAAAAAAGAGAAGGAAAAACATTCATTTTTGTGAATAAAGGGTTAATTGAATTATGAAACATTTATATAATGTTATACCCTGTGACGTTACTCGTTACATTATGGAAGTATTTTCATAGACATGGAAAGATGCTTATGATAGATTTTTAAGTAAAAGAAAGAGATTATAAAATAATTTACATATAGCATATACATAAAGTATTGAATAATATACATCAAAAAATAGCAATAGTTATCTCTGAGTGGTGGAATTGTGGTGATTTTTTTCATTTTTCTCTGTATATTTTCTAATTTTTCTACTCAGTGTATCTTGATATATAATACTTGAGCATTTCTTTTAAAATGAAAGTAATTTCAGAAGTTTCCCACAGCCCATTCTTTCTGCATTTAAAGAATTCAGGGTCTCAAGAGTCAAAGCCAGCACGTGTCTGCACCAGGACTCGATCTTCTGCTCCAGGTTCAGGTTCTCTCAGCCATGGCTTTGTCTGCTGACTCTGATTGGAGGGCCAGTGCTTACGCAGGGCCGTGACATGCTCACGTTCCATTCTCCCCAGTGCTGAGCCTGCTGTCTGCCATGGTAAACCTGCAGGGGATATTTACTGGGTTGAAGCTCTTGTGGAGTAGGGCCCCGTATTTTTGTGAATCTTATTTTTCACTCTTAACAGACACACAAACGCTAACCTGCTTTCATATTCCTTTTCAAAATCTCGCTATGTGCATTTTCCTTTCTCTTTTCTTTTTATTTTTTATTTCTTAATTTTTGGTTTTTTTGAGGAAGATTAGCCCTGAGCTAACTACTGCCAATCCTCCTCCTTTTGCTGTGGAAGACTGGCCCTGAGGTAACATCTGTGCCCATCTTCCTCTACTTTATATGTGGGACACCTACCACAACATGGCTTGCCAAGCGGTGCCGTGTCCGCACCGGGGATCCAAACCTGCAAACCCCAGGCCGCAGAAGCAGAACGTGCGCACTTAACTGCTGCGCCCCTGGGCCGGCCCCTCCTTTGTTTTTTCATATGATTTGCCTTTTAAAAGGCCTCACTTGGTTACTCTCTTCCTCTGTTAGCTCAAGGGGATACTTTCTGAGGAGATGCCTCAGAGGAAGACGGGACTTGGGTTGGTCCCTGTGTCTGTTTAGACGACATCTCGTCTCGGCCTGAGCCTGTGGGCCCCTGCTCTGTGGGCACCCATCACTCTGATGGGCCGTCTGCCTCTCCCCTCTCGGCGGTGGCCTCCCTGGTCAGAGGTGGGCACTGGTCCGGCACTTCTTGTCCTTCTGTTCTGCCCCTTTCCTCCCTTTCATGGGCAGTCTGTCATTCTCTCTCCACAGTTCCTTCCTCTTGTTAGTCTGATTCATTTCCCTGAAAGATGTTATCTTACTGCCCACTTGAGCTGCCGCTTACTCCTTTCTCCTCGGGCTCCTCTCCTAAGGGCCCTGCGGGTACCTGTGTTTGCTCACTCCTCTCAGTGCAGTCTCCCCGTCTCCTTAGCTTGTCCTGCATCTTCTGCGTGTGCGGGCCTGTCTCCCCCATCCCAGCTGTGGCCTCCCCTCTCGCTGCCTTCCTGTTTCTGTTTTTCTTCTTCGTTTTTGTCCTACCACGGTCGTAAACCCTTCTCCCTCTGTTTGCCTTGTTACTCCTGTGAGCTCCTCTTCCTCCCTCTGTGTCCCTGCACATGTTTGTAGGGTCTCTGGGTGACTGCCCAGCATCCATTTGAACCTTTACTACTCTCTTCCCCATTTTTATCAAACTCTAATTTTGAGCTAGTTTTATATACTTTACCTGTATACACACAGCGACAGAAATGACACCTTTTGACCCAGCACACCGTGTCTGCACCTTTTTTTTTTTTAAAGTTTGGCACCTGAGCTAACATCTGTTGCCAATCGTCTTTTTTTTCCTTCTTCTCCCCAAAGCCCCCTGGTACACAGTTGTATATTCTAGTGGTAAGTCCTTCTGGTTCTGCTGTGTGGGACGCCACCTCACCATGGCTTGTTGAGTGGTGTGTGGGTCGGCGCCCAGGATCTGAACCAGCAAAACCCCAGGTAGCTAAAGCAGAGCACGTGACCCCAACCACTCGGCCACAGGGCCGACCTCTCTGCACCATTTTATACTCTATTCCAGTCACTTGAAACATATTTTTGGGCCTCTGTATACAATACCAGCTTATCTGTGGTAGCTCCATTTAACAAGTTTAAAATCAGGAAACAGGGACAGAGGATTTTTTTCCCCTCAGGTGTAAATGTTTTTCATATGAAAGGATAGTGCAACCATCTATTTAAGGTTGAGCCTGTCCCTGAGAGCTCAGGTGTTCCGTAACCCTCCTCGGCCACCAGGGAAGGCCCTCAGGAGATGGGTAACCTGCCCTCTTTGGCCGTAATTCTCTAGCCTTTCCAGGATGACGATGGAACTGACCACCACAGCCAGGCTGCCGGCACACTTAGGCTGGTGCTCGCTTTCTAAGAGCCGCCCAGTTTACGCCCTTGGGTTAGAGGAGACACAGCAGCCCTTTTGTGTCACTGGGCCAAGAGTCCTGGAGTGCAGACTTCAGCTCAGCGCCTCCTCCTCCCCCTTGGGCTGGAGCAGTCCTGCTACCTGGTCTCTGAGAAGCAGCTTCCTCTTTTATCTGCGTATTGATTGTTGGTTCTCATTAATGGTATGATTTGCTTTATTATTATTTTTATTAATAATAATTTTTAGTAGTAGTAGTAGTAGTAAAGCTGCATCTAGATGCCCAGTTAACTATCACTATCTTTGTCAATCAAAAATGACACACACTAGGGCTGGCCTCGTGGCCGAGTGGTCAAGTTCGTGCACTGCACTTCGGCAGCCCAGGGTTGGCTGGTTCGGATCCTGGGTGTGGACCTAGCACCACTCATCAGGCCCTGCTGTGGTGGCATCCCACATAGAAGAACTAGAATGACCTACAACCAGGATATACAACTGTGTGCTGGGGCTTCAGGGAGGAAAAAAAAGAGGAAGATTAGCAACAGATGTTAGCTCAGGGCTAACTTTCCTCACCAAAAAAAGCATACTTTAAAAAAAAAAATGACACCATTTTTTGCATTTATTTGAAAAAATAGAATAGTTAACCCATTTGTGAAAGCGGACACAGCCATAGACTAAATGAAAGAATGTTATTTAATAAAATGATCTACATCCTTTCCAGTCACTAACCCGATGCATCATCCAATTTTTTCCCCAATGAATGAAGAATTTTATAAACTCTGATTGCCTGCTCCTAACTTCTGGAAGTTCCCTAGGGTGTGGAGTACTTACTGTCTGTATTTGAGAAGTGTGGGTTGTTTTGCTTGTGTTAACTGTCAGTGCTGGAGCAGGCCTTAAGTAGGTGCTGATGACACTCAGGATGTTCACAGGGCGTTCGAGAGGCAGACTGGAAGATAGGTCATTAGTATCATAGCCTTAGTTGGGGGGGGGGTGTTGCACAGTGTGTTTTATTGCCTGTGCTGTTTCCTGGGCACACCAAGATTCAGTTGTGGCCAAAAGACGTTGCTTACATTCTACTTAGTACATTTGGTGTACTTTTCTCCTAGTAAAGAGTTGGAGAAGAATGAAGAGACAGAACCAAGTACACAGAAATGAAATGACAAATTAAACCGAATGGAATTTCTCTTCAGAGTTCGGAATTTTCAGATTTAAGGAAGAAAGGAAGGGTCCACTGCTTCTCATCCTTGTGAAAGAATCTAGAAAAATCAGAAGAGAGGTGTGGGTGGAAAATAAGTGTGGCCTTTCGAGCTTAATCGTTATAAACCATCGTGGTTGTTCTTGATCAAAGTATTGGTTGATATTTGTATTTATTAGTAATTGCATCAACGTCACTGTTGGAAAACCAGTAAAGAAAAAACCCTTGTGGCTACTCAGCAAATATGGAGAAAAAGTGTTTGCATTTTTCGCATATCCATTAAGTAATCATTTAATATTATTGTATCTGTAATGTGGTTATATGTGTGATGTTATGCTCAGAATATGAAGTATCTGCTTTTCAAATTTAATATTTAAAAAATAAGCAGCTTCAGAATATTGTGTATTCAAAATGGTCCCAATTTTAAGAAAGGCATTAAAAGAGAACAAATTTGTTTGTTTTGAATGACTCAGATATGTGACTTGATCCACCTAAACTAAAAGTGGCTTGTGGCTGGACTGGCAACAGTGTTCCAAATTCCTGTACTTTTTCAAAAAAGCATTTCATATTTAAGCATATAAGTGATTTGTAGACTAACATTGTTTAATATTTATTTTAGTTTTAATGTTTCATTTTAAATTATTACACTGCATTGTTTATTCCTTTAGTTGCAGAATAACAGTGTCATTGCTATGTGATTGTATATTTTGAAGTATAATGTTACAATAGGAAAGATCATTTCTTTGTTTTTTTCTTGCCCCTTCTCCTTTCCCAACTATGTGATTGTAAGTCTGTCAGTAAAATATTTAACCCCAAGAAGGTCAAAACTAATGTAAAATTAGAAAACTTATTTACCAAATTGGACAATTGATTCCATTAAATTAAGAAGTGAGAAAAACCGTTTGGAGCATTGAGGTGTAAATTTTGCCCAGATGTATACCCAATGTGAAATATCTTTTAGTAAGAATGTCTTTGGCTCTTGTCCCTGCACATGCTGTAGAGGCATGAAAATTGGTGAACATGCCCTGCTGTGTAGAACTTAAAGGGGCAGGGGGGCGTTTTTGAAAGCAGTGCATGGCACTGATGACTGCAGCAGCCCTCGACCAGAGCACCAAGCCCCCGCTGTTCGGACGCATATGTCTGTGCTTCAGGTACAGCTGGGCCCAGCCAGCCTGAGGCACTCTACACAAGCTTGTTTTTTCTGTCTTGTGAGTGTACTTGGTAATTAAAAAATAAAAATATGCGTCTCTCTGCAGTTTCAGCTCATAGTTTTGAAATGTGTGTTGATTCTCTGATTATTTCACAAATAATTTCAACAAGTTACAGAAAAATTTTAAATCTAGGCAAGTGAAATAATACGTCAGGGGAGCTAAACATTTGCTGAGATCTCAATGTTTGTATGAAAAATAAAAGGTTATTTTTATACTGCAACTACTGAGGACAAAAATAACAATTGAGGCCAACACCAGGAAAAGTTGGTTCTACTCAAAGCCCGGGCCTTTTCTCTTCTGTCCTGTTGACAAAGCAAGACTTGGGTTATGCACACGAGTAGATAGTGAAACATCTTTACCACACACTCTGAGATGAGATGGCGGGGGGAGATCAAGAAGTGCCCCTCGAGTGGTAAGTCCAGCTTGTCATCAAGCAGAGGAATCAGGCTCAAGAATCGCTCAAAGATTTCTGATACTACATATTTTCTTAGTAACAAATTAGTTTTCTTTTATCTTCATTCTGAGAGTATTGAATTGTACCCCATTTTATGAAGTCTCTCTTCTCCAAACAAGTAGCAATTTGACACTATCTTTTTCTAGATCTGAATAATATTTTTAAACTACTCGTAGAAATTTATTTCCCAATTATTGATTCTACTCTATCTTGAAGCTTAAAGGTTCTTCAGTATCAGAACTATACAATGACTAAGATTTGCAAAGCTAGAAAACAATCAAGTTTTTAAAAGATTTAAAACATGAAATATTTTACACCATGAATGCAAATTTATGTTTAAAATGCAAATTTTAAATGAAATCAATATTTTTAAATGGTTGAGACTTGGTGCTTCTAAAACCTTGTGTAAGATTTCTTTCCATAAAAGCAAATACCTGACCTTAATTTTATGTTTAAGTATAGAAAAGTTTTATTAAAGCAAGGCATTTTCTCTTTAGGAAGTTCAGCAAGACTATATCTTGGGAATAACTTAGCGTTTTATAGCTTTATATGACATGTCACTTTAGTTGTATGTTTAACTCACAAATATTTTTAAGAGGCTTAGAAAGTTCTAGAAACTAACAATAATTCATGACCTTATGCTTTATACATATTTAAAAGATTTCCATCTGAGGGCCATATGTGTTGAGTAAATTGTGGGAACATTTTTCAACAGTCCGACTTTTTTAAGCTATGTATTTGTTGATTCCTACTTCATTGAACTTACCTACAGAAAATATTCCCCAAACCTTCTCTTTATGTACATGACCTCGTTTACTCTTCATATGAAACCCATGAGGTACATAAAATCTTCCGTGCCCTGCAAATAAGGAAACCAAGGTTAAGAAACTTGTCCAAGTGCACATGGCCAGTAAACATCAGAGCGAGCTGTAAACGGAGGTTTGTCAGGCTCCACGGGGAGGTCCCCCAAGTGCTGGGCCTCAGCTGCTGTGCCGAGTGAGCCGGTAAACTTACAGTCAGAGACGCCAGCACACACAAGAGTAAAGAAGCAATTTGGATGTGCCTACGGCCACACTCAGGGACTCGAGACATCTAATATGTCTTTAGTGCAACAGTGACCTAAATAAAATGAAATATATCTGAAAATTTTTTTTAAAAACTCGTAATTTGTTTATCCCATAATTGCTTTGGTAAGTCTTTACTCCATACTATGATTCTTACATTTTCTTAGGAAATAGATTTTTGTGGAATCAAATTAATACATGTACAGTAACATGTTATTCAGTAAACAGCGAAGGCGCCATTCCAGTCATATAAGAGATAATAGAAACATCCAGAGTCACGTCAATCAAGATTCTCTGTTGACTGGTGAACTCAATCTATGGATGGACCCAATTATCTGCAGGAGAATTGGATGTCAGCATCATTTAGGGTTAACAATGGACCAACCAGGCAAAAGCAGACAGCTCCTCTGCACAGACACCCGGAAAGCAGAGCTGGTAATGAGGCACTTCATTCATGGCATCCTTCTGCTCTAATTAGTAAAGTGAATAGGAAATACTTTAAGTTAAGGCGGGAACTGGATCACATAAAAACATTTGTTTTGTAAACACAAAGAATGCTTTTTTCTAATGCTCCTCTTCTAATCTACATCAGGCATATGTTGTGAGCACCCTGTGTTCTAAAGTGGCCCTTCTCACACCTCATCCATTCTGATTATGGATGGGTTGTTTTACTGTCTCAGAAAATTAGAGAGGCTAATGCTGCTAAGAATCTACAACTTTAATTTCTCCTCTCAACCTAAAAAACGGGGTCATAAGTACATATATAACCACACACAATTCACGTCCCACCTCGATCACTTCTGTCAAATCGTCCAACTATACCTACATCAGTGTCATTTCTAAAAGTGCTGAGCCATCTGATGTTTGCTCGTAGTCTAGTTGATATTTTTCTTAAATCATCCTTTGACCCCCATCAGGAATTGTGAAGGAAGATGGCAGAGGAAAATGTGGGAATGGGTTGTTTATACAACATTTCTGTAGACTTCTGTATTACCACTCAGTTAAACTGGCTTGGAATGGAGGTGATTGCCTTAGTGAAGATAAGGAAGAATCCAAAAGGAGGAAAAGCAAGGAGATGAGGAAAATAACTTGCTGCCGGAGTGAAAACGAACAACTAAGGTTGCAAAAAGCAGTCATGAGACCAAACGAAGAAGGCTCCCTGGAGAAAAGCGTGGTGGCTTCAGTTCAGGTTTTCAGTGTTTTCAGCTGCAAATCGCTAGTTCATTTTTGTCTATTAAATTTGTTCACAAGGCCGGTTTATATAAACACTCCACGTAGGTTTTTTCCGAGCTACAGTTCTTCAATTTAAAGTAAGAGGAAGATGGCTAAGCACGGTAGTTTTCGACCATCCCGGCCTCTTATACAGAAGTCAGGATTCAGAAGTATCTGCAGATGCTACTTTTAGCAACTGAATATTTCCATGGTGGTAAATAAATGTCAGTGAAATCTATGCACTTTAAGAACATCAAATTCTTATTATACTTATCATGTGTGCAGGCAGAGTACATAATAAACTAGTCTATAGCAGCTGTAAATTTCTGAGGATTTATCTAACCACAAATGCATTGAAATGGGGAAATGGGGCTATATTAAACCATGCAAGATGCTGCTGGAGCTTTGCCATTTCTGCAACATCCTGTAATTAATTTATCATGACAGGTCTGGCAAACTGAAACATCCAGTGCCCTTGCGACAGACTGTTCAACTATGGTGGTTGGAGTTCCTGCAGTCACATAAGGTGAAGGTAGATTTTTCTTTCAAACATGAATTTTTCTTTGAAGCGCTATTATATGTAGAATGCCTTATAGCCAAGGACACACATGTCACTTTTGAATTTCAAACTAAGAATATCTAGAATATAGACAAGATCCGGGGCCGAGATAATGAGCTGAGTCTGTTGTCTGCACTGTGGTCCCCTGTGGAGCGCTGGCCTGGGTGGGAATGGGAAGTCTGGTCCACCCTTCCAAAGCCGCACGCCTGGTGCAGAGCGGCTGCGACTCTCCCAGGAGATTTGAAGCTACGGTCTCTTGGTAGCCTTGTCAACACAGCCCTTCCTGTAAACAAGATTCACAAGACCACCCCCTCCATGTGTGTGTCATCATCTGGGAGCCACAGTCCTGCCATTTTGCAAACTTAGAGCACAGATAAATACAGAAATTATCCCTGCTCCAGCCCCCTCCAATCCGGAGACCAAAAAAATTAGCTTGTTTTGCCAAAACAGATCTTCCTACACGACAGTGAATTCTTTGTCAGTTCGTATCAGTGTGAAAGAATGATCCTCTCTTTACTTGTGTGTGATTTGATGCTGGTGTTACGGTGGTTGATGTTAAGGATGGATCTTAGTAAATAAGGCTCCTTCTTGCTGAAGGAGTGGAGCTACCGTCCCTAAAAAGTGAAATCAACGTTGTATCCATGTCCACAGCCTTGCCCATTTCCTTTCAGAGGTTAGAGTGCCTCAGACTACAAACAAGGGGACCCAAGGGAGTCTGGGAACCTCGAATCTGCAAGTTTCCGTGAGAGGGGAAAGTCCCAGGTGGAAGAGAGTGAGATGGGTCCTGCTCACTGGGAACAGGTGAGATGCCAGCGAGGGGCAGTGGCTCCTACCCAGCCACCAAAGGCTAACTAAACGCTTTATGTTCTTCGTGTTTTCTCAAGTGATTTTCTTTCTCTTTATCCTTGCTGGTGAAAATTGATCCTCTTTCAGAGGACCTGAGAAGTTTGTTGCTTGGGCCTGAGTGTTTTTAAAAAAGCGAGCCGCAGAACTCCAAAGTGAATGTGAACCCAAGGGAGAAGGGCAGGAGAGACTGTAGGAACGCTTTGTGTCCCTGCATCCTCCCACCCGGAAGGCCCCTTCAGAGCTTGTCGACGGAACCTTTGGGAATGGAGTGGAGAGTGTGTGTGTCCAAAAACTAAAAAAGAAGACCCCGTTTCACACACCCCAGTTAAGTAGCTGGTCCAGGACCACAGAAACCAGGGGCAGGACCCTGCCGCCTCCTACTGATTCTCCCATTCCTGCTGCTGTTTGCGGGGTAACATTCTCACTTAACTTAAAGCCTCATTATTCAATCCTAATTCTGAAAAAGTCCTACATTTTCTCAACATCATACACAACTACGAGCAGATATCCCACATAGAGCATGGTCTACATTCAGAGAAATGCCCCTGTCAAACTGGCTTATTGCAAGTGATGAGTTTGGATGAGTAGGGGTTGAAACTAGGTAGGGATGTCATCCAGGCGCTATCAGAGTCAGGAGTGACATTTCTGTGCATACATGGGGATGGGTTGGTTTCTTTGATTTTTAGTTTTTTGCTATACTGACAACAATGCAGATAGGGACTAATTCTACTTACACATCAATAGCTGGAATTATTGACTACTTGCCTACACATATTTTATAATTCAGGCGTCAATAGCTTTAATACTTTTGATGTTTTTTAAAGTATGTGTGTTTGCGCACGTTCACTGACTCCACAGCTGGTTCCTGAGCACCTGTGTGTCAAGGCTGGCTGGGAACTGCGCACACAGTGGGACGAGGAGCTTCAAGTCTTCTGCTCTGTGTTTCCCCTTGAAATTGTTACGTGTTTGTTGCCACTGTCCCCCTACAGTGGTGTTCAGAGGACCTGCATGTACAGGACCAAACCTGAGCCTCACAACAGCCTTTATTAGGCAGAAAATGTGTTCTTCTCCCATTTTTCAGACCACTCACAAGGAGGTTCAGTGACTTGTCCTATGACTATTGATCAGAGTCCAGCTGTCCTCCTCCCGAGGCTGTTCTTTCCAATCGGGAAAACTCTTCCCTGACATCTGAAAAATGTGGAAATAAATTATATGGAAAGCTGACATGTGTTCCCCATGCAAGGCGCAACTGTAAATTTATAATACTAAGTTAGATTCATCTTTTGGAATTAGTCCAGATCTCCTGTCGTCAGCTATATGGTGTTTTAGTTTTTGCTGCCATCCTGTATTTAAATATATTTTTAAAATACAGGAACTTAAAATGTGAAGTTATAATAGAGTCCAAATAAGAGCACGTGAAAAATTTTTTTTTAATTGTGTTTTATAGACAGAGGAAGGAGGTGTGCAGAAAATGCCAGGCCGTTTTCCAAAACCTTTTCATGAACCAAGTAAAAGTAAATCATTTCATGCATTGTATGTATACTCAAGCCAAATGGTTATTGTTCAACTTACCAAATAAATTGCGTTTTCTATTAAAGAGCAATAAATCCCCATTTGACCTAAAAGTTCGTTAGATCAACTGACCAACGTGGAAGTAGGACAGAACCGTTCGTAAAATGCAAACCTGACCACGTCGTGCCCTGCTTAAAACTCTTCACTGGCTCCCCCGTCCACTAGCGCTCAATCCATTGAGCTTTTCCTTTTTGCTTAGGATTGGTTCCTATAAATCCAGTCCTGTACTCTCTGATATCACAGCAAACTCTCGTGAAATTCAGTCATCTTGGAAGTGCCAGCAAAAGTGAGAAACGTGGTTGATATCTGAGAGAAAGTCCAAACACAGCACAGCAACGCCCTCCCTGGTCCGGCCATGCTGGTGTCCCCTCACACCTGCATGTGGGGGTCCTGGGTTCGCACCGCAGCGAGACCGCCCTGCTGGAGGAGCCGTGCTTCTGCAAGCCCTCGAGTTGCTCTCGAGACTTGAAGACGCCTGTTTCCCAAAGCCTGTGCCGAATATTGCCTTTGGAGTTTCATCTCAAATATCATATGCACTGATGCCTTTCCTAATTACTAATGGTGGGTAATTGTGTTCTGGTAGTGTCCTCTACCTAATGTCTACAAAGACACAGCACATGACGTTGTAACTGACAATTATCCAACATTAATTAATACACAATCTTTAGATCAATGTACTCTTTAACATTTCTGTGCTTGTGCACAATATGGATGTTCTCAAGTGGAATATAATCTTTTAAAAAAAACTCTAAATGCCCAGCAAGAATAGGGAATTTATGGAAGGAATCTAAGAAAATGTCACTGGTCCTTTCCATGGTCACAGCGGTCTTTTGCCATTTTCCATTCTCTCCTCCCTTTCTCACACTGTGCCCTTTTCTTCTTGTTTTCTGGCTCCCTTTTGCCTTCTTCCCTGCCTGACATCAGGCAGTGGGCTTCCATGAAGTCAACATTAAACCACTGAAACCATTTCTGACCTCCATCTCAGTCTGCTCCTGAAGCTGAGGAGCTGGGGAATCCAAGCTGGAGGACCCGTCCAGGCGGTGACGGGACAGCTCTACTCAAGGCCCCAGTGCCTTCTGAGCAACGCCTTATTTATGTAAACACACAATCTCAAAACGTGGATGGAGGCTTCCTTTTATGTCTTTAACTTTTTTTATTGAATCAAATTATCCAGAAGATTAAACCTGATTTGCATAATATTTTGCATCCCCATTCATCAGGGCTAGAAACCCTTCAAAAGCCTTCTAAAATTTGTGTATCTGAACCCGGCTGCCTGTGAATCTGATATCCTGACCACACTTTTCTTAAAATGTCAATAGTTTTCTGAGAAAAAGGATTCCCAGATTCATAAACAAAAGTGCACAGTATCTTGTTGCTGAGTCTGAGCATCTAATTTTAAGGATTCACGGCTTCATGTTATGTATTTTCATGCCAGTAAGTGAATCTAGTCATTTTCATCACTCATATTTTTACCATCTAAAAATTTTTAAAAATCTGAAAGGTTCAAACAACTCTTTGTTCAACAAGCAAGCCCACTATCCAGCCCAGCAGTGTTTCATAAAAAGTTTCAGGAGCCCTGGGGACCCCGAGGCAGGGGTGTGGGAATGACAGACAGACCAGGCTAGTTGAGTGAAGTGATGGGGCTGACATCTGTCAGCTCGGGTTCAACCCGTCAGGTCTGCTGTGGTCATGACACTGTGCCCTCAGGTTTCCATCTCACTGACGTTAGAGATGCTGGTGAACACCTTTAACTTCTGCCCTTGATGTGCTTTCCACTTTTGACGGTATAATTCTCTTTGGGATTAGTGTAACTGCTCCTGAATCTAAACGTTAGTCTGGTCAGCTTCCTGAGAATGGAGGCTATTGTGGGTAACCTCGCTGTGACACTCACTCTGTCTACACAGCCAGGGAAATGTGGTTTTGACATTTATCCTGTTAAACAAATCACTCTTCAGCCCTACTGGGTCATTCCACTCAAAAACTTATTTAACCATTTTAGTAATCTGTAGCCATTAAATTCACACACACACACACAAATGCCTTTTTTTTTTTTTTTTTTTTTGCTGAGGGAGATTTGCCCTGAACTAACATCTGTTGCAAACTTCCTCTAGTTTTTAGTATGTGAGCCACCAGCACAGGATTGCCATCAATGAGTGGTGTGGGACCACGCCCAGAACCAAAACCAGGCTGCTGAAGCAGAATGCACCACACTTAACCACTAAGCCACCGGGGCTGGCCCATGATTACAAACTAATTTTAATAATAGCTACTATTTGCTGAGCACAGGCTGGTGCTAGGCTCCTTGTCAGGGGCTTTGTATGCATTATCAGATTTAATTTTCGAAATAAGCTTGCAAGGTAGATATCATTATCTACCACTTCAAAACAAATCAAAACCAGACGATGCTGTGTGTCTGAGACGGCAGCTCATGCCCCAGAGCATCAGGATCAGATCTCTAGTTTGTCGACCTCCAAGATTCCCCCCTCCTTCCTTAGGGTATTGCCTTTGAGTTTCCTAAACTATGGACTGTATTTTAAAATGAAACGACTTCTTTTTAAAATGC